CTGTTGCTCATTATCCAAGTTGCAATAGTGTTGTAAAACAACACTGAAAATCTACTAACCTGAAGTATACTGCCAAGCTGCTTATGAAAGAACTTCACAAATTCTTTACTTTCATCGTTTTGTTGTGTAAGAGTCAAGACCATACGTCTTACTGATGTCAGTAATTGAGAAGAGCATACTTCATCCATATGTTCCTAAACAAGTATCACAGAATGACCTTAGTTAGCACTTAAAAAAAATAATAAATTAGCCATCAACTCAAATACTGAATTTCATTTCTATAAAAATCACCTGTTCACTGAAGGAACAGCACTCCATGAACAGGTCCTAACCCATCTTGCAAAACAAGCTCACTGGAACACGGTTATAGCAGATACCATACTTCATTAATGACTGATTGTCCATGACACACAAAGTTTTACCTCACTTTTTCAATACATCAGTACATACCATCTTTTAACATTTGTATAAACCGAGAATCTTCATATATTATGGTTGTGTACTCAAGTGCATTAAAGTTTATGTTAAGATATTGACTGTTGCAAGCTTCCTTAAAACTGCAATCAGAATGGAAACCTTCAGGCACTGAGACTGCAGCATGTCAACAATACACAGTTTTTAAAACTAGTATCAATCAAGTACCTTGTTAAACAAACCTAAGTCTATATACTGCACATGATAAAAGGGAACAGGGCAATTACTTAAGCATCTTACAACTGAACCTTCTCTGCTCTTTAACCTTGCAAAGAATGAACTGCGACCATTTCTCCTTCTTTATAGTAGCACATTTCTCCTCTGGATTCACTAAAGTTTACAAACTCCCAACAACTTTAAAAGACACTTGTAAACAGGAGAAAAAAAAAATGCTAAAACTCACAGAACTATTCTTAAAATCTCAAAAGTTATATTGTATGTAATAGTTCAAATGCTAAAACTCACAGAACTATTCTTAAAAAAAAAATCTCAAGTTATATCGTATGTAATAGTTAATTAAAATTATCTCAGTCCTCCTTGCTAAAAGGCAGCAAATATTTCAGAAGTAGATTCTCAAACTTTTCTATTTGATTTAGTCCGCTCCAAAGAACTTCTTGAAGTCAAGTCCACCACCTCTATGCAATCCAGAAACTATAATTTCTTTCTCCTATTAAAAGCTCCACAGAATCTTTCTGTTGGAGTATTGAATCCTTACTTCATCCTCAGCAAGGTCTGCAACTTAGCAACAACTGCCAATAAATGTGTGTTAAGATGCAAGGTATCCATTTTAAATAATGTTCTTCTATGCAATTATGCAGGTCCTTTTCCTATTCACCTAATTCACACTTTATGGAAAAGAGTTCTTACCTTTAGAAAAGGAATGACCTCTTTCATAATTGCTTTAATCTGCCGGTCAAGCTGCTGAGTATCTATACGAGGACACGGAACAGCAGAAACTTCACTTGACTGTGGCACAGGAAGATGTTCACTGGTACTTGGACCTCAATAAAAAAGCCACACATTTAAGTCATTCCACATTACTATTAAAGAAACATCAATTTCAAAAACATGTATTTTCCTTTTTTAAAAATAAATCGAAAGATCCTTTGAAACTTTGCTAAGTTTCCAATATAAATGAAGAGGAAAGCAAGTCAGCCAATTAAATGATTCTTGATATTTAGAATAATTATTTTCTAAAACTAAGCAAAATATGTATATATGTGCATACCTTCTAATTTAGCAGCAGAAGCACCCTGAAAATTACTAGAGCAGCCCTCAGAGTCAAGGGTACTTTCAGCTTCAATTTTCATACGCTCATATTCCCTCATCCTAGCCAAAGCTTGATCTAAGTGAATCACTGTGTTGCCTATATTTAGAATAAAAACACCTTTTAATCTAAATAAAAAGTTTTCAATTGAAAGACAAGTAAACAATGATAAAAAACGAATTCAAAGCCACAAGTTTGGAAATCTACATATAACTGCTGTTGAGTTACAATATTTTATCACACACTTTGATCAACTCAAAGTGTTTCACAAGTGGCTAATTTCTCTAAGTGCTGTTTTACAGAATGTGGTTACCCACTAAAAATCAAAGAATAGTATACTATGTAAAAGTAGATAACTGCAGGCATTTTAGGAGGGAGGGAGTAGCACTTAAAACACTGTAAATCACATCATTCTTACCAAGGTCATCAGTGGCAAAGGGTTCAAAATTTGAAGATGTAGACATAGTACTCCCATTGTCTGCATCATTTTGTTCACAATCTTGACATGCCTCTGTAGAAAAGTTCTTGCCAAAAGTTTCCTAAAAAACACCAAATAACGGAATACAAAGCAGGAATCCCCCGTCCTCTCACAGATGTGTCAACAAGCCAGCCACACGCTGTGGTATCAAGACTTGTCTACTTTCAGGATGTAAATCCGTCAGGTGATTCTACTGTGTTTGTTTCAAATACTGCAACTATAAAATACGTAAGAAGCAGTACAGAGGCATCAGTGATTTCTGGAATACAAAAAAGCAAAAATTCCTTGGGAATCTTGCTCTGACCTTACTCACAAGAGGATTTCGGCTCTTTTTGAATATTAGTTTCCGATTTGTGCCCCTCTCCATGTTATTTTCCTCCCTGACACATCACTCATTTCCAGCATCAAGAATCCTACCATGTTTAATCACTTTTGCATTAAGATGCTCTTTCATTTCTTTGTTTAGAAAAGTCTGTGTAAGTTGTTATGAATTTTATAAAAATCCAGTTGCTAGTGTGAGTATTTCAGTACACAAGTATGCATGTAAATTGAAAAGATAGGAAAAGTTGACAGCAAATTAGCTTTGGAACTTGAAAACTTACATCATCTGTAGAAGCAAGGCTTTCACTGGGAGTGAGTTCAGAATTTGATGCCATCCATGTCGCAGAATTCAGTGATTTTGTGCGCTTCCCTTTTTCATTGTTCTCAGATAAATGTCTGGTCACTATATCCTGGAAAAGATAATAAATCTATACTGTAAAAAAGGATCTAAGATTTGTTTGATTCACACACAAGATCAAAAAATTTGTGCACACCTGCAAAGCATATAGAGCCCTTTGCCTCAGGTAATCTGTATTTAGCAGCTGAAGCTCATGGAAAAGTTCAATGAGAAAGTGGGGACGAGACTCGTTTTGAGAAATTAGTGTTGCCACTTCAGAATAAATTGTGTCTCTCAAAGCTTCAAACATAGAAAGATCACTACCAGTTTCTGTAGAAAAAAAAGGAACTCGTTAAGTCCTTGACATGCATTCAGTTGAGAGAAAACTGCCTATTAGGTATGCAAGTAATAGGTACACAAATTATATCTCAATCATTATAGATTCCATTACAGCTCCTTTCTTAAGGCTCACTTATTTCCTGAAGGGCAACAAAGATTTAAACATTCTGAAATTATACATCATGCAATCCTTTATATACAAAATGAAATATAAAGCATTAATGGGAATAAATTTCTCTACAATTCTGAATACATTTAGGAAGTATTCTTTATTAAAGAGAGTACTGCACACACAATGTTGCTTTCAGAATAGGTATTCAACACTGAAAATGGGAGTTTAAAGGTATTTCAAAAGAGATAGCCAAAGGTCTCAAGTTTATATAAGTAATTCATACTTTTGCAACACAAGCAACAACATTAAGAAAGCTCTAGACTGAATTCAAGACAGCCACTCCTTCCCGCACCTCCTCACAAGCATAAATCCAACATTCTCATACATGTCTAGTATCACTTCTAAAACTCACATGAAACCTCTTAGCCTTAAGTCCTATTACATACGTATGAGAATGTGCTCCCTACCGATTCTCCCATTCCTTTGAAAACTAAGGATTACCCTTGCATCACAACAGTTAAATTATTACATACATATTTTGGCAAGTGTTGAATGGAAAAAAAGTTAAATTTTGAAAACTCAGCTTAGTTTAACAGATACACATTTGTTAGTATTCAAGTTAATGAAGTTATTAGCAATACAGCAAACATTACTGTGCAATCTGATTGTCTGCAAATAGTTTACCAGTGTTTTTAAGAACAAAGGCAAACTTTTTCAACCTTTAACAAGCTATCAGAAATTGTTTCACTCCCCCACTAATAAAATGTAACAGTAGCTTTTAAACATACTAAAAATGCCAACTGAAACTAGGTTTTTGTTGAAAAAACAAAAAAATCTACCTGCATATTTTCTATTTGTAACTGTGACTAACCAAAAACAAAACACATTCTTCACACTTATAATTCAAAGTAGTTCATTATCGTTGCATTTCATGCAAATTACAAGTAACTTCCCTTGCCTTTTTTATAGAGAAGGTGCTGCAATAGTACTAATTTTGAACATCTGCTAAACGGTCTGAGATTATAGGACCAAAGCTAAGAGGAAAAAAAACCCAACCCAAACTAATAGGACATTCTTGAAGCTAAGCAGTGAATGCATTACCTGGCGCTTCAATGCATGCATTTCTGTTAGACTGCTGCAGAATTCTCCTAGCATGCGCTGTAGGAAAGTGGGGATAGACAGTGATAAACACAAAAATGCGCACCAGAAATAAAGACAGGGTCTATACAAAACAGCAGGAGGAAGACTGCTTAGTGATCCAAACCACATCAAAGCTGCTTATTGTGAAAACTTGGCTAGTAAAAGTTTATTACTTAAAACAATAAACAGCTCTTTGTGTGGACACAGCTACACTGACAAAGCTGTACATTGTGCTACAATGACTAAAATATCTCCATCTTGCAAACAAAACAAAGGTACTAACAGAACCTCAAAAGACACAGAAGAGAATATTTTTATGATGCAGACACAAGAAAAGCAGTGCAGATGGCAAAAACGTAAGGGTTTATGTGATGCTATAAGACTGAATTGGAATGAGCTTTGATAGAGCTTTTTTTAGCATGAATAAAAAGAAAACATGTATGCAATAGAGGATGCAGTTTAAACTCTAAACAAAGCTTCACCTGTTGTGCGGATACTTTCCACACATACACCAACAAATGGGTGAGGTTTTTGGTTGGCTAGGCTTTTGGTTGTTTTATAGTAATGAGTTTCTTTCTAAATTATTTTAATCAAGTACCTAATCTACAAAAAATATCCAAAAACAATCAGTACCCAACTTTTCACACACTTTTTTGTTTCCATAATCCTTAGAAATTAAAAAGCAAAATCCACATGCTAGAAATACAGTACTGTCATCTTGTCATAACACACTGCTTTTAAATAATATTCTAGCAACTAAGTATAGAGGCTCTATACTTAGGACTCGGAGAAGTTCACAAAATAATTACTGACATTCAGAAAAGAATACCTGAAGACATTTCTGTAGATCTACTGTATTTAATAATTTTTTCCAATTGTTCCTGGTTCCTTTTGCTGAACACCTTTGCATGAACAACCTCTTCCGAGTGTCTAGTTTTATTGCTCTTGCAGGGTTCACATGCACTAGAAGCGCTTGCACTTTCATAACCTTACGGGAGGGAATGAAAATGAAGAAATAAAAAAAAAAAAGCTTACAAAATGTTTTATTACTTCTAAAAATTTGTTCAAGGATAATCTCAAAGATGCAAAACTTCAATGATGTTTCCTAGCCAAAAACTTTCCCCTGTACAATGAAGCTTCACAGTAGCACTAAATCCTCAATGACTGCAACAGTATCATACACGCTAGTACTGTCCCTCTCTTCTGATTCAGTATTTTATTGAAGCATATCTTTCAGCAAGTCATCCAGTTTGAACATGAAGACATAATGAAGATTCTCCTGATGTCTTACTCCTTATCTCAGTGTAAGTGCATCCATGATCCATTCAAATCATGATGTCCTAATCGGTTATGCTTTTTATTTACTGAAATACTAAAAATCCTCTTGTAGTTACACTATGTAAAATGAATTAAATGTTAGTAATTTATTTTCATCATTACAGGTACCATTTATGGAGAGTAAATTCTCTAGACTGTAACAATTATAATCCAAGCTGAGTTTGCCATGTTATCTAAGATTACTTTACAACCCACCAGTATTTTTAATTCTGCCTTTCAGCTGAGAAGAGCTCTTCCTCTTATTCTTCGATTTGGGTGTTTTATCTTTTGATGCCAAGCTTGCTTGTGCTGATGCTTTTCTAGATTTAAATGTCTTTGTCACAGTAGTTGGGTCTATTGGATCAGGCATGCTACTAAAACTCTCCCAAGACTCTTCATCAAACTCTCTCCTCCTGCTCATATCGGACTGATTTTTATGACCTGAAGCAATGTTTTGTACTGAAACTGCAACACCTGCTTTCAGCTGAGATTGATCATCTTTTTTCACTTCCTGGCTATCATTAATCCAAGTTGATCTTTTTTCCATTTCCTCTTCAGGTTGTCTGTGACTCCTTCTGTCAGAAAGAAAGACAGACCACAGTATGTCGTAACCTAGTCTCTCAGATAGAAACAGCATGTTATTACTGAACAGCTTTATCCATAATTAAGGTTATCTGCCCTAGTTACTTAGTTATCAACTGAATATTGAAAAAAAATTATCTGCTGAGAATTCTTCCAAATGGAAAATGAAAGACATCCAAAGAAATTCTCATTTATCACTGATTTCAACCTGAATACACTTATGCAGTTATTGCTGTGCTCAAATAGTACTATAGGACAAAACATTTCTTAAAACATTCATTACAATCTACTGCAGCACAAAAACTAACCATTCACTGAAATTACATCCTCTAGTAATTCAAACAGCTCAGTTTCAAAAAACATAGAAATGAAATCTTCCTCCAGTTATAAAATGTATGTCAAAACCACTCCAACACTATATTCATTCAGTTCAACTTAAAATATTCATGAAAGTATACATTAGTTAATATACAGAAAAGCAGAACACTTTACTAAAAATAAAAGTAAAAAAATAAACTGGAAACCACACAAGTAAAGATCCTCTTGTAATTCTGTTACAATAAATGCCCTAAAAGAATGATGAATTCAAGAATGATGAATTCTCACAAACCCCAGAAAAGGAAGGAGAGAGGGAGGAAAAATGTTTAAAGGAGAGTTGCACCATGATATTAAATACCTTTGTTTTTCTGCTCCATTAGAGGAACTGCTTTCAAAAGGTTTGGGGAATGCCATATACTCAGTTTTCCCAGAAGCGTTCTGATCTAGAGGAGGATGTTGCTGCTGCTGCTCACTGCTGTGTGGGGAAATATTGTGTGCAAAATCTCCAAGACCAGAAGGGAACACTGGATTATGGTTAAAACCTATGAAGTAAACAAGAGAGTCAGAAGATATTACCTCATTTATCTGTGTGAAAAAAGTAAAATTCGAGACATATTGTTGTGGCAACATAAAGTTATGAGGCAAAAATACAGTAGGGAAGTGGGCAAAAACTGTTTTCATCCGGAAAGCACTGCAATAATCAGAAATTATCTTAAATGCACGGTTAAAACATTACTGGATTCTATACATTCCACTAAAATCCCATCAGTGGGGAGAAGAAAGTACTTCAAAAAACCCCAATAAAGAGCTCCTACAAGCAAAGGTAAAAATGACATCAGTTCCAAAAAGGCAGAGTGCTGCCTGCATTAAGACTATCAATACTTCAACTATCATCAAACTAACAAGAAAATTCCAACGGTACAAGTATTCCTAGGGCCAAAGTAGCCATAAATTCTTACTATTTATTTTAACTTTAGAATCTTTATAGTAGTGGCAAATTGAATGGAACTATTCTTCCATGCAGGTCTCATATAATTTAAAATATATCCTTAAACAGAAAATGGACTTTAGAATCTGAAAGCTACGATCTAGGTCTATGCCTGTTTCCTGAAAAGGGCGGCAATATATTAAGACAGCTTTGACACCTTTTAATGATATGGTAAATTACCTACACTTTTTTCCATTTCAAATTCAACAGTAAAAGTAGATTTGGTAATGAGACTATGAACACTGCACCCAAGTCCACAGTTACTCTATACCTCTGATGGGAACAAAAATCAGTAATACACTTCATTTACAGGTATTTCAAACACAAATGAGTGCTGGAAGTTCTAAGAAAAAGAGAAATAATTACCAAGTGCCACCTTAAAATTAGAGGGTTCACTTAGAACACTATTAAATGATTGCTGAAGGTATACAAGAGCTTCAAACACTGCTTTTAACATGTTGGATGAAGAACATTTGAAATGTTAACTTTATGGAGTCGATATTTTTGGCTGTAGCAAACTTCTTATTGAGAAAGTCTTGCTTTTCATACTGCAGTCAGAATATACAATTGTTAAGCAATAAACATTAACAAACTTCTGCTAAGATAATATGGGCACATTCAAGTACTGTTTAAGACCACTTCAATATAAAGGAAAAGTCACAGAGTTTCAGCAAGTTCACATTAAGACTTCAATTAAATGAGAGAAAGGAAATTTTTGAAATTTATATTACTTTTCACACCTGTAGTAACACTCACCTGGAGCAAAGGAAGACAAATTAGGAAACCCTGGTACATTAAACAGGTTCACAGGTTGCGGAGGAAAGCTGAATGGATAGAAAACAGGAGATGGAGGTGGTGGTGCACTACTGCCTCTCTCCTTTCTTGATGGCTTTTCTTGACACTGTTGTTCTTGCTGGCGCATAAGATCATTTAACATTTGTTTCAGCCTTGAAAACAAGAAAAAACAAGCACTTAGGAAAAAAAAAAGAAAAATGTGAATTTATACTCAAGTAATTTGAGACTTGTATTATTTCATCTGTCCCATGTAATGTATATAAAGAACTAGTCCATTTAACTAGTGGGGGAAAAAAAATCAAGATAAAACACAACTTGTATTTAATTCTGAGTGACAGACAGGAACAGTTTTAAAACCAACCGCTCTGTGCTAGTGCTCATGTTTACAAAAGTTAAACATACTTACAAGAACAATAAAAAATTGAGTAGATACTAAAAAAATAAGCAGGCTGAAAAATAAACTTAAATAGGAACAACTGAAGATACAAAACATTTGCAGAAATGGCAGTAAAACTACTTTAAAATATTATATGAGAGGCCAGTACCTACATACCACTTACCAAATACAAAAACGAGATGAAGAGCTTGAATTTTCATGCAATGAATTAAAGTGACTATTACATCTTTTTTTAAAAAAGATCATTGCTCAGAAGGTAAAAGTAGTACATCCAAATGGAGAGTAAGTAAGTGTAAATTCTGACTGACAACACAGAAAGCACAAAAAGTTTTTCCAGCATCTTTCCATAACCATTAGAATCCAGAATCTTGCCAGGTAGTCTAGCAAAGACTACAGACATAAAGGCATACTCGAGGAAAGCAAGTCTAACCAAAAAAGCCAAACAAGGATATTGCAACGAGGTGCCAACTTCTGGTTCTCTTCACTAAAGATTACTCAAAAAGAACCATCTCAAAGGCATTAAAAGCAGTAGTGAAAAAAAAATGCTGTATACAGTTTCAAAAGCTTGCAATCAACTCAGAAGTTCAACAGTCTCATATTTAACCATTATCTGTTATCTTCTATTCACATGACCATGTTCTCTGTTACAGAAGCATTTCAAATTCCACAGTTAAACACTAATACAGCCAACAAACCTCTGGACGTTATTCTGCTGCCAAGTCAGTTGAGTGTAACACTGGTTTAACTGATGCATAATAAGATGGACTTGTGAAGACGCAACATTATTGGGCATCATATTGTAAGGGCCTGTAAGCAATGTCTGTAGAAGACAAGAGAGGGTCTGTGGAAAGAAAACATATGACAGTGATCAAATCACCAAAA